GAAATATATCTTTGAACAAAAATCACTTATTGAAGCATTTATTAAAGTATTAAAAAAATATTTGGATGAAAATGATGATAATCATCAACATTTCGAACAAATGAAAGTAGTTATGAACAGTAATGTTGAAAAAATATTTTCCTATGTAGCTGAATAGGTGAAGATGTGTGTATATATATAATTTACCCTCCATGTAAAAACAGATTGATGAAAAAATGTCTCGGATACAGAAGTATCAATGTATGTTTACAAATTGTATACACTCTAAAAAAAATTGTTCTTTTTATTTTAAATGTTGTGAAAGATTTTATCCATGTCATCATTGTCATAATAAAGATCATTTTGCAATAAAAAGTCAATCAAAAGATATTTCCTGGATAATGTGTAATTATTGTGGATTTGAGCAAGGAATTCATCAATATTGTTTCAAGTGTAAGAAAAAGTTGGCTGATTATTTTTGTGACAAATGTAAGGTTTACGATGATTATTCGAAAGATCCTTATCATTGTGTAAAATGTGGTGTTTGTAGAGTTAAATTACATAGATCATTTCATTGTGATGCTTGTGGATCGTGTTTCGAAAAGGAAAAAGGAAAAAATCAACATCATATATGCAAAAACGAACATGTTCAATGTATGATATGTTTGGAAGATACATTAACTGGAATTGGAATGTTAAAATGTGGTCACAAGATACATTATGATTGTTTGACACAATTATTATTACAAGGATTTTCTAACTGTCCGATATGTAGAACTGATTTATTAACACCAACAACCATTCCATCAATTAAGCGAGCATCATTAAGAACCGTGTCTGGTACAACCTGATACTAACTCCAATAAAATACAAAAAACATGAATTTTTTATTATATGAAGTATTATATAAAGTATTAGATGAAGTATTTACAATTTGATGTATATAAAAGAATTTTAAGAAATTTTTCTAAAAAAATACTCCATTGTGTTGTTTAAATTAATTTCTTGGTTGAGTTCTTTTAATTGATCAAGTAATTTTTTTCTTCTCTCAAACAGATCAATTAAAAAATTGGCTTCTTCCTCATTTTTACATATTATATTTCCTTTTATAAGTGAATAAAATTGTCTATTGACATAATTTTGACCATTGTTGAAAGATAACATATTACAAGAGTATTCAGGATTTTTAGCGATTTCGTTGTTGTATTCTTCAAGTTTTTTTTTTTTGGTCGGACGTCCTCTCTTTTTTTTTATACTTTCAGTAGCATCCATTAATTGTCTTTTTTTTCCTACCCATTCATTAAGATTATGAGGAGGACTTGTAAATACTAGATCGGGATGAGCAAATACTTGATCTTGATTCATTTGTTCAGGAGGAGGAGATGTATTTCCTTGATTTTGATTCATAGTATTATTATTAGGAGGAGTTGTAAATTCTTGATTTTGTTGATCTTGATTAAATTCAACGTCTTCAAGTTCTCTTAAAATAGTTCGCGGTGTGGGGATATTGTAATTTAAGAAAGACATTGTGCTTGGTGACATCATACTTGTAGTTGAGATTGGAGACATGATATTCATAAGAGTTGTATTATTTTTAGTAGGAGAATTTTTGGTTGAATATACATTATTAATTATGGGTAAAGGAGATGATTTTTGAATATTATCATGACAAGTATTCAAAGAACTTTTACCATCACTCTTTTCTGCTGTATCTTCATCCATGGGTTGTGGAGAGTTTGGTGATGATGATATATGATTTTGATTTTCGATCCCACTTGTCTCAGAATTTGTCTCGTTATTTTTCTCAGTATTTACCCAATCCGGGTGAATGGGTGTATGTAGAGAGAGATATTCATTATTCTCTTGAAATTGATTTTCTTTTGCTTTTAAATTTTTTTCTTTATTTCTTTTTATAAACAAATCGAAACGATTTTTGTTTCTTTTATCTTTCAAATAAAGTAAAAAATCTTCATATGACGCTTTCGATCCCATTTTTCTTTATAATAAAGAAATTTTTAACGAGCAAGTTCTTATATACTACTGGAATTTGATATAAAAAATTGTATTTCCTTTCATTTAATCTATTTATGGTATGATTAGCCTTGGATGAACTTGCTACATAGCCTTGGTTGTACTTGGTACAATCTGATACCATTTTTTGTTTAAATTTAGAATATAACCTTGACTTTACAAGTTGATTGATATTACTGAGTGTCTAGAAGTTACTAATTGAGATGCTTTGCATTTTTTGACGTCAATGAAGAATTAATACATGTTTTTATTACTATATATGGTTATTACTATATATGGTTATTACATGCACGATAACCTTGAACGCTTCATATTTGCATTGCTTGAATTTTTTTGGTTTTTTTAATATTGGTGCAGTATATAAAAGACCTGTTATTTGAAATTGTGTGCATTGAAGAACTAACGTGTCATATATTTGTTAAGTTCGTTTATAAAATGGAATCAAAAGAATCAAACGCAAATTCAACTCCAAATTCATCTGAAGATGAAAGCCCTAACACATCGCATTGGCTCAAAAGAAAATTTTATTATATATCTGATGATGATGATGTAAACATCGAACTTAGCGAAAATTATAAAAAACTTAACGATTTTAGAAAAGAAATACTTGACTTGCAGAGTGAATTAAAAGAAACGAGAGAGAAGCTAACGCAAAATGAAGCAAATTTGAGCGAGTTTTCAAAAGAAATTCAAGCTTTAAAAGATGAATTGGAAAAAAAGAAAGAGCAAAATGAAGCGAAGCATATTGAATATTTAAAAGATGTTCAAGATTTGCAAGATGAATGCGATTGTTTAAACAATTCGTTAACTGATTATGAAAAAATAAAAGAAAATACTCAAGTAAAGTTAATATTAGCACAATCTAAGTTGGATGAAGAACTTCAAAGTGATGAAATATAGTTCATACAACGATTTTAATACAACTCTTCAAATATTTTGTTTAGACGATTAACATGCAACTGTTTTTCATTGTCAGACATGTCAACATCTAAAAAAATAAAGTCTATATAATCTTTAGATTTTCTAATTACTTTTCTTTTTTCTTCTTTCTTCTTCTTCTATTTGTTTTTTATTTAGTTCGAAGATTTCTTCAAATTGTTTTGTTTCTTTTTCAATAAACTCTATCATCTCGTCGCAAACCTCTTTCCAAATATGACTGTATATTTTAATATATTTTATATTGCATTGTTTCTTTTTTTCTTCGTCTTTTGTATCGTAGAACTCTTTCTTTTGACATTTTCCCATCTTTTTTGTTTCACCGTTTTTCTCACTGTCTTTGCGATAAGTGTATGCTTGCAAGTGAAGTAAACGAAACAAATGCTTGAATTTTATAGATCAATTTTTGCGCAAATATAACCTTTGACCCAGTGAAACATACTGTTGTTGCGTTTACTTGTTTCACATATGTTAAAACTTGCGATTTTGTAATAACATAAACCGCATCGAGTATTCACTACATTAATGTGTTGAAAAAATTTGCATTTAGATTTTCTAATAAAACTTATATTTTTGATTTTGTTGAAGCTACCAGTATCAGATTCCATCATTACCCATAAGATAATTGCTTAATAGATGTGATGACAGCAAATGGTTTTTGTTTCAGTTCTTATTGGTGTTGTCTAAAATTTACATAATTCTGTTTTGAATTTATTTTGAAAAAAATTGTTTCTTTATATATTAAAAATTGCGTTTTTTTGTCACAACACAAATTGTATCGATTGTTGGTAGTTGAAGGTTAAAGTGTGTTTTGTAACTCGTGTATCATAATGGGTTTGACACTAGATGGCGATTGGTACAATAGAATAAATGATGAGATATATAAATGTGAAATTCGTATCGACAGCCTCAAGGGATTTATAGAAGACATATTAGAGATGATGTACTCTGAATTAAAAGAACAAAATTACGATCAAGTTAAAGTACATCGATATTTTCGGGTGTGTAAAGATGAAATCAAAACAATCAAAAATTACAAAAAGAATGTGAAAATATGTTAAATGTGATAAAATTGTACAGAAAATGTTAGAATTTTACAAAATTTTAATACAAATCTCATATTTCGATTTTTTGAAGATAATACTTTAATCAATGTGATGACAGCATTGGAAGATAATTTTTAATAAATGTGATGACAACCAATGGTCTTTGTTTGAGATATTATTTGTGTTCTGTTTTGAATTTAGGTGTGATTCTATGTATTAAACATGCGTTTTTTATTATAAGATACATCGTTTTGTTTATTAAATACATTAAAACGGTGAAAATAATTTTTACATCTTTAAAATATGAAAATATGAAAATATGAAAATATGTACTAGATTGTACCAGTCACGGGTATTAAAGGTAATTGCTTAATAGATGTGATGACAGCAAACGGATTTTGTTTGAGATATTATTAGTATTCTCTAGAGCTTGTGCAATTCTGTTTTGAATTTAGATGCGATTTTATGTATTAAATCTTGCGAATTTTGTCATGGTACAATTCGCTTTGATTATTAAATACATTAAAGATATGAAAACAATTTTTGTATCTTTCTTTATTAAATAATGTTCATTTTCGATTCTGTTGAAGTCAGTGCCAGATTGTACCAGTCACAGTTGTTTAATTGATATTTAATTGATATGATGACAGTAAATGTTCTCGAATGTTCAAGGGCAACTAGCAAACAAAGATACAGTGTATTGAGATGTAGATACGATCGTTCAAGGTGAAACGGAAACAAAGGGTAGTTTGTTGTAACGAGAGTATTTAAGAACGTGTAAATATCACAATTGCATCGAAGTTTCTCAAGCTCTGTTGAAGTTATCTTGTTGGAAATCGGTTGAAATCTTGTTGGAAATCGTTGACTACTCGCTATTTGTTGAGACGAAACTTGTACTGGTAAGAATTTTGCCATTTATTTATTTACGCGGTAATTTTTTAATATCGCAATTGAATTAACGTTTCTCTAGTTACGTTAAAGTCTGTTTACCCCCACTTCTATAGCTACGTTAAAGTGTGTTTATTGGAAGGAGTATATACTGTTTGAAATAAAGGTGAGAATTTAAATATTATTTGCTTTTACTTACGAAGTATGATATTATTTATGTAAAAAATTATAGATGATCACACGGTATAGAAAACAATTAATGGGTCATTTGAAAGAGTATTTGCGTCATACTGATGAAATATCATACTGGATTTTTATTATAAATTGTTATTGTAAAGACGTATATGACCTTCCCTTAGAATTTTTAATATGGATGAAAAATCATTTTATTATAAAAGTTAGTCGATATGAAAAGAACTTTTATGATATTAAAGATCTTGATAAAGTTTTAAATATTTTTATGTGTATAATCCAAAGAATCAGGCTTTTAAAAAAGAACAAGAGATTTTTATGTTAATTTTTTGCTAGGGAAAATTATGGGATATTTCGAAAAAAAAAGAGTTATGAGCTTATTTAAAGAACTCGGCGAAAGTAAATTTCAGAACTGTCAAAAGTGCTATTATTGTGTAAGGTTCAAGTTAAGCTTAGCAAAATTAATACTGGACTATATTGAAGCTGATTTCTTTCATTTTATTCGTGGAAAGATACAAAGAAAGGATAATTTTCAAATTAAAGACAATTTTCTATTAAAAATTTTGAAAAAAGGAAATATGGATTGTACTTTATTAAACCCAAATGGATTGTTGAATAAAATTTATGTGGGGTTAAAAAACAACGAAAATAATGATACTGAAGAAGAAGACAATTATATGGAAGAAGAAGAATATGACAATGATAAATTAGAATTTAATAAAAACAAAGGTCAGAAAAGAAAAATAATATCTGACAAAAAAGCTATGAAACGAGTTAAACTAAATTAATGATACTTTTTTTTCCTTAGTAATTTTTTGGAAATTGTATAATGGAAAAACATTATATCAAAAGTCATGTGCTGTTATAGATCACAATGGATATATTTTTTGTCGTGTAGGACATTTTGGTGGACATACTTGTAATTTTTATTATAATCAATATAAACCACGAGTTGATATTAACTCTAACTATACAATGTATATAAATGAATATGCTATTAAAAATCAATTGTTTCATTTTTAAATGGTTTTTATTAGTATTTCTTTCCAGATAACATAGTGACAAAGAAATTGGTTATATTTGATACCGTTTTTTGTGTATTTCACCCATTACATAACCTCGAAAGAATTAACGTTTATTATATTTTTTATAGTTTAACGATATGGATTTTTTATCTATCCAAGTATTTGCCATTTTATTGAACGAATATCCTGGTCATCCATTGTTATATCCGTTGTATTTTGTATGCAGTTGTTTATTAAAATTGAAAAGAACTTCGTCACTAATGAAAGTGCTTAAAATTAAACCAACTGTAGAAGATTTAAAATATTCTCTTTATTTTAAATCTTTTTCAAATAATGAAAAATTCAATTCCGTCTTCAAAAATGTAGATTTCGTTGAATTTCTATATGGAACAGTAGGGATAATACGCTGTTGGGAGAATGAAAATACCGAACATCTTTATTTAATTTCGACTTATTGGTTACCCAAAGTTTATATGCAACATAAAAAAATATTATTATTTAATGAAAATTTTTGTTGCAGATATCATTATTTTAATGTAGATAAACAAACGAATATAATTTTATATGATTATTTCAACATTTATTTGCATGATTCTCAGGTTGTAAAAAAAGATAGTTTTCATTTAGGTTTAGAGTGTAATGGGATATATAGATATTTTTTTCAACATGTTAGTGATGTAAAAATTTATATATCTTGTAAAAAATTTTTTAATACAATTGAAAAAATAAAATTGAAAAATGTAAATAAAGATGTAATTTATAATTTTTTAATAGAAAACGAAATTTATACGGATTATGCACGTCATATATTATCTTGTAAATATTGTAATATATTGTTTGATGATTTTATAACTTTACTTATTATAAAATGTAAACAATTAGAAAAACCTAATTTTACATTAACAACACGTACTTTTTTAACGTTTGAACAAACTGGTTTAATATTTGATGAAGATCCTAATTTTCATACGTCAACTTGTAATGATATTTTATTTATTTTAAAAAAAAATGGACTTGATAGATACGAATTATTTTTTTCAAATTTTAATGGTAATAATTGATTAATTAAATACAAATTTTCTATTTTTTCTATTTTCATTCATCATTGTCTTTAAATACCCACTTCCCTTTTGTTTTATTTTTTTTATTGATCCTCTTATACAATAATTTTTCCTTTTTCTTTTCCTTTTACACATTTTTTGTTTCATCAGAAAGAAATTATTCCTTATTAATTTATTATTTAAATATTTTTTTAACAACTCCACCGGTTATAGCTGGAACAATACCCTTTAATGCCAATCCTGCTAGTCCACCAATAATTCCTCCTCTTTGTGCTTTTTTTCTATATTTTCTTTTTTAATTCTTTTCGTTTTCTTTTATACATTTTTTATTTTTATTTTTAAAAAGAATAAATAAGTAAAATAAATAGTAAGCAAATTCAATAAATATATGCATGGGAAGCAATATCTGTTTATTTATGCAGAAGTAGTACAATTGTTATAACATATATATAGATTTTTTACAAAATCACATTTTAAATTTCTGAAATAATATTTTTAAAATTACTAAAAAATGGGAAGACGTCAAAGAGGAGGAGACGACAAAAGGAGGATTTATTAAATTTTCTAAAATTCGCAATACACTTAAATCAGGATTTAAAAAAGCATTAAGTAAAAAACATTTAGCGTTAAAATCTGCAAAAGCTGCCAGAGCTATAGCAAAATCAGGAATACTGGGTTCTAAAGCAAAAAAATTTGTAAATTCACCCTTAATGGATAAAGCATTTGAAATTGCAAATAATCAATTGGGTAAAGGTGCATATAGAGGTCAGATGTATGTAAGGGGTAAAAGAAGAAGAGGTCAAAAAGGAGGAATATTACCATTGTTAGCACCAATATTGGGATCGATATTTTAGTTGAAATCAATTTGTGTACTTAATTAATTAATTAAAAACATTTATGTAAAAATATATTTTATTCAATAAAAATATTATTTATTTACAAAATATTTTACTTTTTACTTTTTTTCCAATATTCTCTACCATAATTAGTAAATATTTCTTGGTGTGGTTTAATGTTTTTTGATGATTTTAAGAAATAATTAAATTTTTTTCCAAGTAAAAACGAGTTGTTTTTAAAGCGTGACCCTCGAGCATCATTTGCATATCTTGGTGCTCCATCAGTTGTTTCATTAGCATCAACACATTTTCCTTTATCGCAAATTGCGTATTCTGCTAAACCATCACCATATTTTCTTATTACTTGACTTGAGGTAAGATGTCTTCCTGTATAATTTGCAATTTTTTTGTTTTTCGAATTTTTTTTGTATGCAAATAATCCTTTACCACCGTTTGAAATGTTTGAAGTTTTAATTCTTAAATTAAACTTTTTTCCCAAGTGAATCCAACATAAATTGGTCATTGAAGTTTTTTCGACATCTTACATTTTTAAGGTAATTCCATCACATTGTTGTACTTTTCGTATACTTTGTTTCATTTTTAGTAAATTAATCTTATTCCAGCATAAAGTTCAATATTTGTTTCAATATATTCTATTAATTTCTCAATTTTAAAACATATATCAGAATGATTTGACTCGAGATTATATATTTCTTTTTTTAAAAAAAAAAAATTCTTTTTTAATGAATTGACATCATAATACCTTACAGAATTATCATCATTATCATCTGATTTCCAATCTTGAATTGATTGATGAAATAAGAAAGGTGAGAATAAAATACATTTATCATTATCCAGTATTTGATAGGTACATTTAGTACTAGCTCTTTTATTATTTTTATTTTTCTTTTCATTTTCATTTAAGAATAAATGAACTTCTATATAACATAGTGTTTCTCCAGCCATTTTATTAATTAATTTTAGCAATGGGTAATTCTATGTGTAAACCATCCAACGATACACCGCTTATAAAATTAAATCTAAACTGCATGTGTATAAAAGGTTCCGAAAATGAAATTGATTATCATGATAATGTAGACGGTGAAGAAAAATAAAGGAAAAAAAAAAATAATAAAAAAAAAAAAAAAAACCAAACCATGTCAAAACGGAAAAATGAAGAAATTGAAGAAGAAAGAAGAAAAAAAATGAAAATTATTTCGAATGATGAAATAAAGAAAATAGTTAGTATATTTCATTCAAAAATTGGTGAAAAATTGAATACATCAAAAAAATAAAAATTAATTGATTTACAATATAAAATACCATTTTACATTAAATGGTGAAGTTAAGGATCACGTATATCAAATTTTTATAAAAAAAAACAATTTCAACAGTTTACCAGATTTTTTGAAACAATTTTCAAAAATATTACAATATTTGCTCAATATAGCAAAATTAACCGTAAATTCTGAGAATGATTTAATTAGATTTTTTCGAAAAAGCCGTTAAAACCTTTTCAACATCCTTATTACCCTTAAAGGAATTTACTATACAGAGATTATTAGATACTTTTGAACATAATTTACAAAGTAATATTTCAGAATTTTTAAATAATGACTGGGAAACTAATGTATGTCTTATGATTGTCCCACATCAATATAAAAATGAGAAAATCTCATTTAGGAAAAAAAAGACCAATTCGGAAAAACAAAACAAAAAACTTATTTATAATTTAAATCCTGATGATGATAGTAGGGGGTAAAACAAATCGTCCAGTATTGAAACATCAAAGAGAAGTTAGAAATGGTATATTGCAAATTAAGTGTGACAAATTGCAAACTCAAGTTAAAATTGTTGTTTTGCTGTGGCTGTATTAGTTGGAAAAATGTTTATTAATAATGATGAGAAACTAACATTTTTTAAAAAAAATTTAAATAAAACAGTTGATGAAATAATTACTGTAGACGAAGTTAAATCATTTTATAAAGAAGCTAAATTATCAGAAGGAAGTGTCGCCATTAACCAATTAAATTTAGTTTACGAAAACTACTTAAAAAAAGATAATTTTCATTTGGTGATTTTTTCTAAAGATAAATTAGATACAATAATTTATGACTCAAGAGTGAGTAATCATGATTCCTTTCACATTAGTGATAAAATTATTTTTTTATGGTTAAATGATTCCCACTATGACTTAATCTTAAATCCTAAACTTTTTTCTAATTTAAAATTGGATTTATTTTGCTTTAAATGCATGCATTATTTGAAATTTGACGAGTATGCGGATTCTCATATTTGTAAAAATGAAGACACATGTTTAAAATGTTATTCAAACTGTAAAAAAGAAGCAAATTTTTCTATTCAATGCACCGAATGTAATATAATTTTCAAATCATCAGATTGTTTCCGGAAACATTTGTTTAATAAATTGTTTAAAATAAGAATAGTATTAAAGTCACACCATGTCAAAAATTTTTTTGTAATACATGTAATAAAATTGTTCCAAGATTTTTCTTTGTTAAAAAAAATAAGGTTGTTTTACATGATTGTCAAAAAACATATTGTGCTCATTGTAGAAAATATTTGGACAAACAACATAAATGTCATATCAAACCCTTAGAATTTAATAAGTATAAGTCTACACCAACGTTATTTTTCTTTGATTTTGAAACAAAAACAGATGAAAATAATTTAATGATACCATTCTA